CCTGACTGCATGTTAAAGTCTGGCCTGACTGCATGTTAAAGTCTGGCCTGACTGCATGTTAAAGTCTGGCCTGACTGCATGTTAAAGTCTGGCCTGACTGCATGTTAAAGTCTGGCCTGACTGCATGTTAAAGTCTGGCCTGACTGCATGTTAAAGTCTGGCCTGACTGCATGTTAAAGTCTGGCCTGACTGCATGTTAAAGTCTGGCCTGACTGCATGTTAAAGTCTGGCCTGGTACAGCACATCAGTAGGATTAGTTTTAGCCATCACCACTTTTCGCCCCATTAGTATGGCCTTGACAATGACGTCACCGAGTGTATGGGCCAGGAGTTCCTTCCCGTTCGAATGCGTTCTATTTTGTATATAGGATGTCACCAGGTGGCGCAATGTCCAGAATTTCAAAACTAAATAGTTCTGATCTAATACCTATATTTATGGGTCGACAGGGTTCTTAGCAGAGAGAGAGAGAGAGAAAGAGAGAGAGAGAGAGAGAAAGAGAGAGAGAGAGAGAGAGAGAGAGAGAGAGAGAGGCAGAAAAGGAGAGGTGACAGAGGGAGGAAGGGAGAGATATTTGGCTATACGTATGTGTATTTATGATGTGTGTATTTATGATGTGTGTATTTATGATGTGTGTATTTATGACGTGTGTATTTATGATGTGTGTATTTGTGATGTGTGTATTTATGATGTGTGTATTTATGATGTGTGTATTTATGATGTGTGTATTTATGATCTGTAAGATGATCTAGCTTTGATTTGTTTGTGTATTCGAATTTGAATTTGTATAGAAATGTAAGAGTATAATTACATGAAATAGTGTTAGTATCGCTAGATTAGTGTCGTTTTATTTACATACTGTTTTTCTCTTCTGTTTTGGTCGTGTTCATTCTAGGAGCCAAATCTTGACACTGATTACATTCTAGAGCCAAATCTTGAGACTGATTACATTCTAGGAGCCAAATCTTGACACTGATGACATTCTAGGAGCCCAATCCTGACACTGATGACATTCTAGGAGCCCAATCTTGACACTGATGACATTCTAGGAGCCAAATCTTGACACTGATGACATTCTAGGAGCCCAATACTGACACTGATGACATTCTAGGAGCCCAATCCTGACACTGATGACATTCTAGGAGCCCAATCTTGACACTGATGACATTCTAGGAGCCAAATCTTGACACTGATGACATTCTAGGAGCCCAATCTTGACACTGATGACATTCTAGGAGCCAAATCTTGACACTGATGACATTCTAGGAGCCCAATCCTGACACTGATGACATTCTAGGAGCCCAATCCTGACACTGATGACATTCTAGGAGCCCAATCCTGACACTGATGACATTCTAGGAGCCCAATCTTGACACTGATGACATTCTAGGAGCCCAATCTTGACACTGATGACATTCTAGGAGCCCAATCCTGACACTGATGACATTCTAGGAGCCCAATCCTGACACTGATGACATTCTAGGAGCCCAATCTTGACACTGATGACATTCTAGGAGCCCAATCCTGACACTGATGACATTTTCATAACCATAACGGTACGTAACACTGAGGGGGGGGGGGGGGGGAGGTTACGAGAAATATTTTGAGATTGAAGGGGGTGGGGAGATGCAGCGATGCATAAATGTCAAGAATCCCTGCCCTAGAACATGTCCCAGGTTCACCCACCCCGCAGTAACCATATGTTTCCGTTTTATCACGTGATAGCCCTAATTCTATGGCTACCGTCGTCTGCGCATTTCGACATAATTTAAAATTCTCACACTGTCCAAGTCACTAGACCCCGGTTCTCATCCTCCTTGGCGTCCTGTAACTTGACCAGAGGTCATTTCTCGGACCTCGCATGCCTGTAGTGACTCTCTCGGTGATCGTAGTTGAACAATAAAATAATGATTGTAATCGGTGTGTACAAGAATAATGCTCAAAATGTCTTTCATTTAATAGTGTACAAATTGCCATCAATCTCTCTCAATAATGTTACGCTTTTAATATGACGTCACATTGCTGCAACCCCACCCCCACCCCCCTCAGTTCCGTCCCCAAAAATGTGCGACCCCCTTTTTTTAAACACGTGACTTCACTTGTGGAGTGCCCCATTATCTATTTACAGCCAAAATCTGAATTACGCCATTTCTGTACCAACTACAAACTCAGACCTGAGTGAAAATGAGACGTCTAAGTGCTATCCCCCCCCCCCCCAACCCCCCACCCTTTTGAACACCTGGGCACCTTATTTCAATGTAGGGTTTTCTTTGACGAATAAATAAAATGGTGAATGACGTCAACGAACCGTTTAAACTTATTTCAATGTAGAGTTTTCTTTGACGAATAAATAAAATGGTGAATGACGTCAACGAAGCGTTTATCCAGAAATATATATGTTAGAAGTTAGACTTCTGGGGGGGGGGGTGTAAACATTTAATTTATAAACCGGGATTCCCGAAAAGACAGCCATAGACCACGGCCCGGGTTTCCCGGAAGCCCAGAAGGCGTTGCAGGAATTCTTGCTTTGAAACCTTCTAACTTTCTATTGCTGCATTCCTTCCGCGGTCTTCTAATCCCGATCCCTGCCTTCCCTCCTCATCTGCAAAGTACTGCTGCCACACACGGGAGCAAAGTGCCCACCGCTAGACATCGCCGTTGTTGCAACACGGTCACATGACACTCCCGGTATTTCACAAGTTGCAGGGCCGTTAAAAAAAAAATCCTCCGGGCCACGCCCCCCTTACCGGCTACTAACGTAAAAACCTATGTCTATATTTAGACTTTGTCTTAATGTGGGCCTCGTCACCTGGGTTTGAGAGGAGCGTCACACAGCCGCCTGCCCACCAAGCTGGTCCCCTCAGCCATCCCAGTGCTGACAATTCATTTAGTGGTGAAAAGTGTACCAACTTGTTTCCGACCACTTTCCTCCCCGCTGGTAAGTGAATCTCTTACATGCTCATCACTGTCACTAATGCTAGTAAGAATGTGCTTCTTTGAATTGAATCAATGTTTGTCGTGGTTGAAAACGACATTGGTCCTCGTATCAAGTCAATGTTGTGATGGAATCTTTGAAACAAAAGAGAAAAAAATGTATACCATAGAGATGAAAACCGGATCTTTGTAAAGCTGTTTAGCCTTAAGCACGAAACTACGCGCAGAAATATATTAGACCGACTGATCTAATCATTAGAAATATAAATTCGAAGTTCTCAAAGCGTACACATAGTTTTAAACACAGTTATCTAAATATGACAAAAGTAAATCTGAGGCGCTCAAAGTGTAGTTGTTATCAGTGGAACATGTACCATTACGAGAGACGGGGTAACGCCCATGGTAAGGATGCAAAACTTTGAAATTGGATTTTAGTATTTTAATAAGTAGACAAGTTTCTGTGTCATTGAAAGAAATGAAAAATAAAAAAAAACAACAGGAATTTGGTCGTCACGGAAATCTTTCGTTAAAATTGTTCCGTTAAAAAATATTCCATTCTATTTTCTTAAAACCCAGTGTTGAACAGATATCGTAGAGTATTGTGTCATTAGATGACATTTTGATGGATTTTGGTTGACAAATTAATTAAAGGAATGTTCACGAACAAGATTTATCAAATTCTACAAGAGATAGTCGGTTAGTGCATCAACTATCAACACTTGTTTAGTGCATCAACTATCAACACTTGTTTAGTGCATCAACTATCAAAACTTGTTTAGTGCATCAACTATCAATACTTGTTTAGTGCATCAACTATCAAGACTTGTTTAGTGCATCAAATATCAACACTTGTTTAGTGTAACAATTATCAACACCTGTTTAGTGCATCAACTATCAATACTTGTTTATTGCATCAAATATCAACAATTGTTTATTGCATCAAATATCAACACTTGTTTATTGCATCAAATATCAATAATTGTTTATTGCATCAAATATCAACACTTGTTTATTGTATCAAATATCACCACTTGTTTATTGCATCAAATATTAACACTTGTTTATTGCATCAAATATCACCACTTGTTTATTGCATCAAATATCAATAATTGTTTATTGCATCAAATATCAACACTTGTTTATTGCATCAAATATCAACACTTGTTTATTGCATCAAATATCAACACTTGTTTATTGCATCAAATATCAACACTTGTTTATTGCATCAAATATCAATTGTTTATTGCATCAAATATCAACACTTGTTTATTGCATCAAATATCAACACTTGTTTATTGCATCAAATATCAACACTTGTTTATTGCATCAAATATCAACACTTGTTTATTGCATCAAATATCAATAATTGTTTATTGCATCAAATATTAACACTTGTTTATTGCATCAAATATCAACACTTGTTTATTGCATCAAATATCAACACTTGTTTATTGCATCAAATATCAATAATTGTTTATTGCATCAAATATCAACACTTGTTTATTGCATCAAATATCAACACTTGTTTATTGCATCAAATATCAATACTTCAAATTGAGGGTCACGAGGTTGCATAAAATTTTGTTTCAAGTTGCAATTTTTTCGAAAATCTTTAGTGCACATTTGAACTTTATTTGGCACATTGTAATTGTGTGCCCCTGGTGCCATGTTGCATTATGGCATTTTAAGTGTGCCCCCCCCCTGGTGCCTTAAATTATAATGGGATTGTTAGTGTGCCCCCTTGGCGCCATAAAATGTAATGGGATTCTAAGTTCAATAAAACAGGTAAATATGCTGAGCTTTTATGAACATCGAGCGACGGGTTGTATGACAGGGCAGCCTGACGTAACCCTGGCAACGTGTCAAACGCGTCTGTGTGTGAACAACATCCGGTTTCACTCCGATCGAACGTGCCGCTGGCTAGGGCATCTCTCCTTTACACAGTGGTGCACTAACGTGCCGCTGGCTAGGGCATCTCTCCCTTATACAGTGGTGCACTTGCTCTTACAACCCCTATGTGGAATGTAACCCCCCCCCCCAGGTAAACAAGCGCCCCCATAACACCTGTTGACGTCCACACACACCCACAGCATCGAATTTACCAGTAGCCGACTCCCCCACTACCCCCACTTTAACTTCTTTGTCAGTCATGTCTACAGGCTCGCTGCGTACTCTAAATTGATTCAAGCCCCACACTTAATGCTGGAGCCCATCACCACACTTAATGCTGGAGCCCATCCCCACACTTAATGCTGGAGCCCATCCCCACACTTAATGCTGGAGCCCATCCCCACACTTAATGCTGGAGCCCATCACCACACTTAATACTGGAGCCCATCACCACACTTAATGATGGAGCCCATCCCCCCACTTAATGCTGGAGTCCATCCCCACACTTAATGCTGGAGTCCATCCCCACACTTAATGCTGGAGCCCATCCCCACACTTAATGCTGGAGCCCATCCCCACACTTAACGCTGGAGCCCATCACCACACTTAATGCTGGAGCCCATCACCACACTTAATGCTGGAGCCCATCACCACACTTAATGCTTGAGTCCATCCCCACACTTAATGCTGGAGCCCATCCCCACACTTAATGCTGGAGCCCATCCCCACACTTAATGCTATAGCCATCACCACACTTAATGCTGGAGCCCATCACCACACTTAATGCTGGACCCCCATCACCACACTTAATGCTGGACCCCCATCACCGCACTTAATGCTGGAGCCATCACCACACTTAATGCTGGACCCCCATCACCGCACTTAATGCTGGAGCCATCACCACACTTAATTCTGCACCCCCATCACCGCACTTAATGCTGGAGCCATCACCACACTTAATGCTGGACCCCCATCCACACACTTAATGCTGGAGCCATCACCACACTTAATGCTGGACCCCCATCACCCACTTAATGCTGGACCCCCATCACCACACTTAATGCTGGACCCCCATCACCACTTAATGACTAGCTGCTCGCATTCTGTGATTAAGCGTAATTTTGTCTTTAATAGTTCTCACTTAAGTTTTTGTGTTATTTTTATAACATTAGAATTATCTTTGGAGTAAAATTTAAAAAAAAAAAAAAGATTTAATTCCTAATGATTGGATGAGATTATAGCAAGGCCTCGTTTTATTTCAAGTGGATTACACAGTGATTACACAGTGATTACACAGTGATTACACAGTGATTACACAGTGGACTGTTAACAGTAGCGCCATCAACCCCCAAACATCTGTGCTGGTTGAGCGCCATCTTGCCTTGACACAAACAAGGGTTACGCGCCCGTGTCATGTGACACACACACATTGTGGGATTACATCCTGTTTGGTGGCTGACATCACAGATTTAATGGGGTTTTTTCATCAGGAAAGTAAGTGGTAATGCCTTACGGATATCCTTTCAAGGAATGGTCAATGGTGGCAAAACTTTAGAACATTATGGACATTGGTGGCAAAACTTTAGAACATTATGGACAGTGGTGGCAAAACTTAAAAACATTATAGACAATGAGGGCAAAACCTTAGAATATTATGGACATTGGTGGCAAAACTTTAGAACATTATGGACAGTGGTGGCAAAACTTAAAAACATTATAGACAATGAGGGCAAAACCTTAGAACATTATGGACATTGGTGGCAAAACTTTAGAACATTATGGACAGTGGTGACAAAACTTTAGAACATTATAGACAATGAGAGCAAAACCTTAGAACATTATGGACAGTGGTGGCAAAACTTTAGAACATTATAGACAATGAGGGCAAAACCTTAGAACATTATGGACATTGGTGGCAAAACTTTAGAACATTATAGACAATGAGAGCAAAACATTAGAACATTATGGACATTGGTGGCAAAACTTTAGAACATTATGGACATTGGTGGCAAAGCCTAAGAACATTATGGACATTGGTGGCAAAACTTTAGAACATTATGGACATTGGTGGCAAAACTTTAGAACATTATGGACAATGAGGGCAAAACCTTAGAACATTATGGACATTCGTGGCAAAACTTTAGAATATTATAGACAATGAGGGCAAAACCTTAGAACATTATGGACATTGGTGGCAAAACTTTAGAACATTATGGACATTAGTGGCAAAACTTTAGAACATTATGGACATTGGTGGCAAAGCCTAAGAACATTATGGACATTGGTGGCAAAACCTAAGAACATTATGGACATTGGTGGCAAAACTTTAGAACATTATGGACACTGGTGGCAAAGCCTAAGAGCATTATGGACATTGGTGGCAAAATCTTTGAACATTATGGACATTGGTGGCAAAGCCTAAGAACATTATGGACAATGGTGGCAAAACCTTAGAACATTATGGACAATGGTGGAAAAACCTTAGAACATGCATGCGACTACAGATCGACAATAATTTTTTTTAAAACTACACTATCACTCTACGACACTATCCCTCTACGACACTATCACTCTACGACACTATCTCTCTACGACACTATCCCTCTACGACACTATCCCTCTACGACACTATCCCTCTACGACACTATCACTCTACGACACTATCCCTCTAGGACACTATACCTCTACGACACTATCCCTCTACGACACTATCCCTCTACGACACTATCACTCTACGACACGATCACTCTACGACACTATCCCTCTACGACACGATCACTCTACGACACTATCACTCTACGACACTATCCCTCTACGACACTATCCCTCTACGACACTATCACTCTACGACACTATCCCTCTACGACACTATCACTCTACGACACTATCCCTCTACGACACTATCACTCTACGACACTATCACTCTACGACACTATCCCTCTACGACACTATCACTCTACGACACTATCACTCTACGACACTATCACTCTACGACACTATCACTCTACGACACTATCACTCTACGACACTATCACTCTACGACACTATCACTCTACGACACTATCACTCTACGACACTATCACTCTACGACACTATCACTCTACGACACTATCACTCTACGACACTATCACTCTACGACACTATCACTCTACGACACTATCACTCTACGACACTATCACTCTACGACACTATCACTCTACGACACTATCACTCTACGACACTATCACTCTACGACACTATCACTCTACGACACTATCACTCTACGACACTATCACTCTACGACACTATCACTCTACGACACTATCACTCTACGACACTATCACTCTACGACACTATCACTCTACGACACTATCACTCTACGACACTATCACTCTACGACACTATCACTCTACGACACTATCACTCTACGACACTATCACTCTACGACACTATCACTCTACGACACTATCACTCTACGACACTATCACTCTACGACACTATCACTCTACGACACTATCACTCTACGACACTATCACTCTACGACACTATCACTCTACGACACTATCACTCTACGACACTATCACTCTACGACACTATCACTCTACGACACTATCACTCTACGACACTATCACTCTACGACACTATCACTCTACGACACTATCACTCTACGACACTATCACTCTACGACACTATCACTCTACGACACTATCACTCTACGACACTATCACTCTACGACACTATCACTCTACGACACTATCACTCTACGACACTATCACTCTACGACACTATCACTCTACGACACTATCACTCTACGACACTATCACTCTACGACACTATCACTCTACGACACTATCACTCTACGACACTATCACTCTACGACACTATCCCTCTACGACACTATCACTCTACGACACTATCTCTCTACGACACTATCCCTCTACGACACTATCCCTCTACGACACTATCCCTCTACGACACTATCACTCTACGACACTATCCCTCTACGACACTATCCCTCTACGACACTATCCCTCTACGACACTATCCCTCTACGACACTATCACTCTACGACACTATCACTCTACGACACTATCCCTCTACGACACTATCACTCTACGACACTATCACTCTACGACACTATCCCTCTACGACACTATCACTCTACGACACTATCACTCTACGAGACTATCACTCTACGAGACTATCACTCTACGACACTATCCCTCTACGACACTATCACTCTACGACACTATCACTCTACGACACTATCACTCTACGACATTATCACTCTACGACACTATCCCTCTACGACACTATGACTCTACGACACTATCACTCTACGACACTATCACTCTACGACACTATCCCTCTACGACACTATCACTCTACGACACTATCACTCTACGACACTATCCCTCTACGACACTATCCCTCTACGACACTATCACCCTACGACACTATCATTCTGCGCCAGAAACCCTCGCTACGCCACGGAATCTTCTATATCCTCATGTCAACGTAGACAGTCATTGTTGTCCTCATGTCAACGTAGACAGTCATTGTTGTCCTCATGTCAACGTAGACAGTCATCGTTGTCCTCATGTCAACGAAGACAGTCATTGTTGCGTCTGTAAGTGAATGAAACATTTCTTGGGAATAACTGGTCAAGTTAATCCATTTTAAAACACAGCAACCAAAGAGAAAAGCCTGTAGTAATGTAAGTGTAAGATGTGTAAGATAGCTGGTATCTTATGTCATGCATAGAAATACCGTATGAAAGAAAACCGTGTCTGTCGGACCGCAACGGAGCTATCATCGCTCAGATGTGTGGCCTTGCCCTGTGAAGGGACAGGTTGGGGGGGGGGGTGGCACGATGTCAATAAAACACACCACCACCATCACCATCACCACTACACCTCAGTGGCGTAGCGAGGGTGTTTGGCGCCCGGGGACAAGATTCTCGCCCGTGGGACAAGATCCATTTTAGCGCCCCTTTTTTCTTTTTTTCAACTCTCAAACCCATTATTTTCATCAATAAAATAATATCAAAGCACATTTTGGCGCCCCTAACTAGCTGGCGCCCGGGGACATCTGCCCCCCTGCCCCCACCACGCTATGCCTCTGCTACACCTCCACACAGACATCACTTATCACCAGACGTTGGTACGGCACCATCCATTGATTTGATATTTAACTAGAGACGTTTAGGTCACCAAGTATTGAGATAAAGGCCTCCACGTTTACACAAGCCTTTACGATGGCCCGTCGCAAGGTGTCTTTAGTACGCAACCTGTCTAACGTATAGTGTCAAAATAGATGCGTCTATGTCAGGGGTCCAGGGGCGTGGGGAGACACATACACAAAGTTTGTTTGGAATGTTTATGGGCAATTTAATCGTTGGCGTACGGGGAACAGGATTTGCTGTCGTCATTGCAAGGGTTTAGAATCCCTGATCTATGGCTATCTATCAAAATAGCATTATAAAGGAAATCACACACACACACGCACAAGAGTCGGAAGTGACGTCATTGGCCATTGCTGTTGAATGGTTTGTGTGTGTGTGTTTTGGGCGTGACCCGGATGTGACCCGACATTGCGGCGGAACGAGAAATAACGAGACGTGATCATGAAAAGATAAGTTTGTATCTTTGCCATCCCTCACCCCCCCCCCAACTCTTTTACCTACAAGCATATTTTAAACGCATGTTGACAGAATCGAGACCAGACCAGAACGCCAGATTTTTAGTATGTGTGTGTGTGTTTTGGGCGTGAGCCGGATGGGACCCGACATTGCGGCGGAACGAGAAATAACGAGACGTGATCATGAAAAGATAAGTTTGTATCTTTGCCATCCCTCCCCCCCCCCCCCAACTCTTTTACCTACAAGCATATTTTAAACGCATGTTTACAGAATCGAGACCAGACCAGAACGCCAGATTTTTAGTTATTTGGTCTATGCAGCTCTAAAATAATTATGTTTGGAAAAATCCATCGTTGTATGAGCAGAACACACGACCATAACACATGAGCATAACACACGACCATAACACACGACCATAACACACGAGCATAACACATGAGCATAACACATGAGCCTAACAGATGAGCATAACAGATGAGCATAACACACGACCATAACACACGACCATAACACATGAGCATAACAGATGAGCATAACAGATGAGCATAACACACGACCATAACCCATGAGCATAACACATGAGCATAACACATCAGCATAACACATCAGCATAACATATGAGCATAACATATGAGCATAACATATGAGCATAACACACGACCATAACACACGAGCATAACACACGACCATAACCCATGAGCATAACACACGAGCATAACACACGAGCATAACACACGACCATAACCCATGAGCATAACACATGAGCATAACACATGAGCATAACACATGAGCATAACACATGAGCATAACACATGAGCATAACACACGACCATAACCCATGAGCATAACACACAGAGCATATCATATGAGCATAACACATGAGCATAACATATGAGCATAACATATGAGCATAACACATGAGCATAACACACGAGCATAACACATGACCATAACACATGAGCATAACACATGAGCATAACACATGATCATAACACACGACCATAACACATGAGCATAACACACGACCATAACACATGAGCATAACACATGAGCATAACACATGAGCATAACACATGAGCTAAACACATGAGCATAACACATGAGCATAACACAGGAGCATAACACACGAGTATAACACATGAGCATAACCCATGATCATAACACATGAGCATAACACATGATCATAACACACGAGCATAACAGACGAGCATAACACATGAGCATAACACACGAGCATAACACACAGAGCATAAAACACAGAGCATAACACATGAGCATAACACATGAGCATAACACACGAGCATAACACACAGAGCATAACACACAGAGCATAACACACAGAGCATAACACATGAGCATAACACACGAGCATAACACACAGAGCATAACACACAGAGCATAACACACGAGCATAACACATGAGCATAACACATGAGCATAACACATGAGCATAACACATGAGCATAACACATGAGCATAACACACCAGCATAACACATAAGCTAAACACATGATCATAACAGATGCAGAGAAAAAAAGCACGTTGGCTTATGTTATTCCAATTAGGTTAAACTACGGTAAACATTACAACATGTTGCAATGCGACAGTAATGACGCAATCTGTGGAGGCACGACTGGCACACGGCCTGACTCACTGGTGATCAAGCTAAACAGACTGGGAAATATTGCAATCATTATTTTAAAAATAAAATAATTAAATTAATAATATTATTTTAAAATAGAAAGCCGAAACCAATTCCCTTCTATTTTCTTATGCGTCCAACGCAGGGTTTGTTAAAGACCGGGTTGTCCAACGCAAGGGTTGTTTTAAGACCGGGTTGTCCAACGCAGGGGTTGTTACAGATCGGATTGTCCAACGCAGGGGCTATTTTAAGACGGGGTTGTCCGTCGCAGGGTTGTCTCTCTTAAGTTCAGTTTGCAACAATGGGTGACTCTCCAGGCAAGAACGTAGTTCTCCTTAGTTGCAACTTGCATACTACCTGAGCTATTTGCAACTTATTGTTTTGAAATGCATCATTTGTAAAATACCTTTCAAAAATTATAAATAAAGTCATAATTGAAAATATTACTTCTATTTTGAAAAATAAACACAAAAACATTCCAAAATATTTGTCACGTCTCTATTTAAAACGTACGAATTCATTGAAGTGGTTGGCATGGTTGGCCAAGTTTAAGCCAGGGCCGCTCGTAAACCGGTCATAAATTATAAGTGTTTAATCCAACTGCGACACAGTAACACTGGTTGGAAACAGCTGTAGGCTTCAGAGCAGGGGGTCTCATCGGGTCAGACTTTTGTGTTGTTTGGGGGCTTGTCCCTCCGCCCGTTCCAAACCCACACTGACTTTATGACCACGTGACATTCGAAGGACCATGAGCATGAACATAACAACCAGTCACATGATTAAAGGGAGTTGTATTCTAGTTAGAATTTTCTGTTTAAACACCATGGCATTTTTGTTTAAACACCATGACATTTCTGTTTAAACACCATGGCATTTTTGTTTAAACACCCTGACTTTTCTGTTTAAACACCATGGCATTTTTGTTTAAACACCATTACATTTCTGTTTAAACACCATGGCATATTTGTTTAAACACCATGACTTTTCTGTTTAAACACCATGACATTTTTGTTTAAACACCATAACATTTCTGTTTAATCACCATGGCATTTTTGTTTAAACACCATGACATTTCTGTTTAAACACCATGGCATTTTCGTTTAAAAACCTTGACATTTCTGTTCAAACACCATGATATTCTTATTCTTACACTGAAGCCAAATATTAAGTTCACGAAGTTTGCCAGAAATGTTCACCCAAAGAAAGCAACATCTTCACTTTTCTCCATTTTTTTCCTCCAAAATTCCACAAACTTTCCAGTTTTGTTCATGACTTGAAAGTTCTAAGAAAATCCCATTGTCCCGAATCATCCAAAACACATTTAAACTCTTCATCTACGTCATTTTTCAAAAGCCAATCAAACATTGTGTTCTTCACACCACTCTGTAAGAAACCTTCACACGACTCTGTAAGAAACCTTCACGCCACTCTGTAAAAAAACTTCACGCCACTCTGTACGAAACCTTCACGCCACTCTGTACGAAACCTTCACGCCACTCTGTACGAAACCTTCACACCACTCTGTACGAAAACTTCACACCACTCTGTACGAAAACTTCACACCACTCTGTAAGAAACCTTCACGCCACTCTGTACGAAAACTTCACACCACTCTGTACGAAAACTTCACACCACTCTGTACGAAAACTTCACACCACTCTGTACGAAAACTTCACACCACTCTGTAAGAAACCTTCACACCACTCTGTACGAAAACTTCACACGACTCTGTACGAAAACTTCACACCACTCTGTAAGAAACCTTCACACCACTCTGTACGAAAACTTCACGCCACTCTGTACGAAAACTTCACACCACTCTGTACGAAACCTTCACACCACTCTGTACGAAACCTTCACACCACTCTGTAAGAAACCTTCACACCACTCTGTACGAAACCTTCACACCACTCTGTACGAAACCTTCACACCACTCTGTACGAAACCTTCACACCACTCTGTACGAAACCTTCACGCCATTCTGTACGAAACCTTCACACCACTCTGTAAGAAACCTTCACGCCACTCTTTAATAAACCTTCCCATTGTACATTTGATAACATAGCTCAACTATCCCATACAACCAACACAAGTTTGTACATTTGATAACATGGCTCAAATCTTGGCTCAGCTTTGAGTTCGCGCCAAAAATGACATAAAACATTTATTTCAAGGATTCGTTTGCTCGTAGACACATTGTAAGGCTATAGATAGATTGATTCGTTGGCTTGTAGACACATTGTAAGGCTATAGATAGATTGATTCGTTGGCTCGTAGACACATTGTAAGGCTATAGATAGATTGATTCGTTTGCTCGTAGACACATTGTAAGGCTATAGATAGATTGATTCGTTGGCTTGTAGACATGTTGTAAGGCTATAGATAGATTGATTCTTTGGCTCGCAGACACCTTGTAAGGCTATAGATAGATTGATTCGTTGGCTCGTAGACACGTTGTAAGGCCATAGATAGATTGATTCGTTGGCTCGTAGACACGTTGTAAGGCCATAGATAGATTGATTCGTTGGCTCGTAGACACGTTGTAAGGCTATAGATAGATTGATGCTTTTAAAGGTCAAGTTGTTTGATTTGGGCGGCTAGGGGGAAGGTGTGGAAAGGGGAGATGAGATGGGGATCGAGGATCCAGTTTGGTAAGTGGTTCTTTATTCTGGGCTATCGTGCCTTAAGTGAAAAACATCTTTTTTGGTTTGTGTTACCTGTAAGGTGTTTCATATAACGGGCAGCACATTTCTCCTGAGTAAATGGACTACACGCCTAACCCGTGTAACTGTACGCATGCCTTAACTCTGTAACTGTACCACATACCTTACCTGTGGAAATGTAACACTTACCTTACCTGTGTAATTGTAACACATATCTTACCTGTGTAACTGTAGCCCCATACCTTACCTGATTACCTGAACATATACACATTACTGTCCTTACCTGAACATGCTACACGCTCAAGAAGAAAGTAATAAAGCTTACCTATTAAAGGTTCTCAAATAGTAGGGAGGAAGAACAGGTACGAGTAGAGAGGATCGTGTGACAAACATTTAGCCAAACATTTCAAGGGGCAGGGTCCAGACCCTAAGGGTCAAATCCTGTGACGTCACTTCCTAGCAACACACGCTCAATAACACACGCTGTGCATGATGTCATACATCACACGCTCTATAACACACGCTGTGCATGATGCCATGATTCATCTGTAAGTGTTCCCGCTAATGCACTAAAGCTCAGCTATGCAAGAATCACCAATTCACTCAGTCGTGCCAATGATGATGAGAACAAAACCAAGTTGTTCTGGTGTTGGCTTTTTTCTTTCCTGCCCAATTTTATTTTTTACTTGGGAAAAGCGCAGCAGATCACGCTCAGGACCACAGAGCCACAGAGCCACAGGGCCACAGAGCCACAGAGCCACATTGTCACTTGCCAAAGCTAAGGGAGATTTTAGCATCTAGATTCTAGATACTTTGTGTGCTCATTCTGTTCATGTCCTACTATGTCCTACTGGATGGTGACTGGGGTCCTTCTGTTCATGTCCTACTATGTCCTACTGGATGCTGACTGGGGCCCTTCTGTTCATGTCCTACTGGACGCTGACTGGGGTCCTTCTGTTCATGTCCTACTATGTCCTACTGGATGCTGACTGGGGCCCTTCTGTTCATGTCCTACTATGTCCTACTGGATGCTGACTGGGGCCCTTCTGTTCATGTCCTACTATGTCCTACTGGATGCTGACTGGGGCCCTTCTGTTCCTGTCCTACTATGTCCTACTGGATGCTGACTGGGGCCCTTCTGTTCATGTCCTACTATGTCCTACTGGCTGCTGACTGGGGCCCTTCTGTTCATGTCCTACTGGATGCTGACTGGGGTCCTTCTGTTCATGTCCTACTATGTCCTACTGGATGCTGACTGGGGCCCTTCTGTTCATGTCCTACTATGTCCTACTGGATGCTGACTGGGGCTCTTCTGTGCATGTCTTACTATGTCCTACTGGATGCTGACTGGGGCCCTTCTGTTCATGTCCTACTATGTCCTACTGGATGCTGACTGGGGTTCTTCTGTTCATGTCCTACTATGTCCTACTGGATGCTGACTGGGGTCCATCTGTTCATGTCCTACTATGTCCTACTGGATGCTGACTGGGGTCCTTCTGTTCATGTCCTACTATGTCCTACTGGATGCTGACTGGGGCCCTTCTGTTCATGTCCTACTATGTCCTACTGGATGCTGAATGGGGCCCTTCTGTTCATGTCCTACTATGTCCTACTGGATGCTGACTGGGGCCCTTCTGTTCATGTCCTACTGGACGCTGACTGGGGTCCTTCTGTTCATGCCTACTTGGGTCATACTCAAGTAATTCAACATAAATTTGTAAGATACCGGAGCATAACAAATGTTGTACATTCCTGCAGATATTGCATATTCGAGAAGATGTTGTATATTCCTGCAGATGTTGTTTATTTTTTATTGTTGTGTTTTAAATCCAACGAAAGAGAAGACAAGATGGTCCATTTCAACGAAAGAGAAGACCAGATGGTCCATTTCAACGAAAGAGAAGACCAGATGGTCCATTTCAACCAAAGAGAAGACCACATGGTCCATTTCACCGAAAGAGAAGACCAGATGGTCCATTTCAACGAAAGAGAAGACCAGATGGTCCATTTCAACGAAAGAGAAGACCGGGTGGTCCATTTCAACGAAAGAGAAGACCGGATGGTCCATTTCAAAAAATGAGAAGACCAGATGGTCCATTTCAACGAAAGAGAAGACCAGATGGTCCATTCCAACGAAAGAGAAGACAAGATGGTCCATTCCAACGAAAGAGAAGACCAGATGGTCCATTTCAACGAAAGAGAAGACCAGATGGTCCATTCCAACGAAAGAGAAGACCAGATGGTCCATTTCAACGAAAGAGAAGACCAGATGGTCCATTTCAACGAAAGAGAAGACCAGATGGTCCATTCCAAAGAAAGAGAAGACAAGATGGTCCATTCCAACGAAAGAGAGGACCAGATGGTCCATTCCAACGAAAGAGAAGACCAGATGGTCCATTTCAATGATCGAGTTTGCTGGTAACTTTCACGACTATTGGGGGTAATGAGGTAATGAGGCAATAAGCTAATAAGGTAATAAGCACACGTTTGGCAAAAATTGACAAGTTTTGGGTATAGTTTAAAGTTCTCCCTGTTATCTTCCCTTATCCAGGCCCATTGTCCTATAATCACACCCGTAATCCACTGTTCAAAGATACGGTAACCTAGAAACCATGGTCCACAATAAAACCATTGTTTAATGAACTGAAGTATTGAATAAATGAACAATCAATTGATCAATATAACTGCCCAGTGATGGGCTGTCTAGTCAACAATTGGCCAAGATATAAAGTGTCAACCATCAGGGATATGTAAGCTGATACACGTCATCACGGGCGGATACTGTTACATGTAATCACGTATATCGGTACATCGGTATGTCTTGAGTCAACTACAGGAAATCAGACATGCCGCACCAAACTCATCCAAGGTCAAGGCCATTTCAAATCTTAAAATATTTTAAAACTCTGTGTTTTATCTTCTAAAAGGAGTGAACTTAAGCCAAGCCCTTGAAGATAAGCGATAACAGCGCCCTCTGTATTGATGTCCACATAGCAGGCCCGCACAACTCAACATGTAAGACGGGCCATAATACTTTATGAAAAACTGGTGCGGGCCGAAAGAAAATAGGACAGGAGGAAATGCTATTAAGAAAATAATAATAATAAAGGAAATTCCGTAACTTACGAAGTAAATTGAATGTGAACCATTGCATCCTTTTTTGGGTAAAAAGTTTGTCGTATTCAGGAGATAGATTGCAAATGGCTGTTCTCAAGATGTCTTTCAAATGATCATCACTCAAACATGAGCGTGGCTTGCATTTATTGATGTTCATCATTGAACATGTCTGTTGACATGTCTGTTGACATGTATGTTGACATGTCTGTTGACATGTCTGTCCACATGCCTGTCCCCATATCTGTTCACATTTTTGTGCATTATTTTTAATTTATAATATTATGAATCTCCACGCAAAGTGGGTGCTGGCGGGCCACAAAGTGGGTGCTGGCGGGCCGCAAAGTGGGTGCTGGCGGGCCACAAAGTGGGTGCTGGCGGGCCACAAAGTGGGTGCTGGCGGGCCACAGAGTGGGTGCTGGCGGGCCACATAGTGGGTGCTGGCGGGCCGCAAAGTGGGTGCTGGCGGGCCACAAAGTGGGTGCTGGCGGGCCACAAAGTGGGTGCTGGCGGGCCACAAAGTGGGTGCTGGCGGGCCATATGTTGTGCAGGCCTGCCATATAGTACGCAAGCCCTGAAGTCCCCGGATGGCAATAGGAATTCGAATAGGTGAAAATGGAAAACCCAAGGGTTGCCTTCATTTCTTGTCCCCATTAGTGACATAATGAGGTTCATAGGGAGGTAGCCATATTTGATTCTGTGTATATATCACGTGATGTCGCCCGTGACAGTAAAAAGCATATCTTTCGTTACGTCACCGATGCTTGAACTTGAAGACTTTTGTCTGCTTCCATTTGAGCTGGCTGAAAGGTCGTGTTTCTATTTCACAGACCCTTGACCATTGGTCTGCGCCAGGTTGCTTAGGGTCTTCGTCGCTTTCATCTTGCATGGTCACTATATTCGTGTAATGTCCTGAGTAGCTAGCCTGGTGTGGGAGTCTATAGACGTGACCATTCACTGACCACTGACGTGACTACACAGTCTATTGTTGACACTCGTCATTTGAATTTAAATTCTTTACAATCTGTTCCTAGGATCCCGATATCTTTATGTTCCTAGGATCCCGATATCTTTATGTTCCTAGGATCCCGATATCTTTATGTTCCTAGGATCCCGATATCTTTATGTTCCTAGGATCCCGATATCTTTATGTTCCTAGGATCCCGATATCTTTATGTTCCTAGAATCCCGATATCTTTATGTTCCTTTGATCCCGATATCTTTATGTTCCTAGGATCCCGATATCTTTATGTTCCTAGGATCCCGATATCTTTATGTTCCTAGGATCCCGATATCTTTATGTTCCTAGAATCCCGATATCTTTATGTTCCTTTGATCCCGATATCTTTATGTTCCTAGGATCCCGATATCTTTATGTTCCTAGGATCCCGATATCTTTATGTTCCTAGGATCCCGATATCTTTATGTTCCTAGAATCCCGATATCTTTATGTTCCTTTGATCCCGATATCTTTATGTTCCTAGGATCCCGATATCTTTATGTTCCTAGGATCCGATTGTCTTTATGTTCCTTTGATCCCGATCCCACCCCAAAAACGTCATCTTTACCTTCCTATATGACTCATCACCCTAAAACGTTATATGTATCAGCGTGGACCGACACCAGTCCGACACCGGTCCGACACCGGTCCGACACCGGTCCGACACCGGTCCGACACCGGTCCGACACCGGTCCATGAGCCTGATGATGCCGGTCACCACACCATAAATATTTATAGTCAAATAAAAAGAAGAAATGGTTATTCAATTTGGCACCGGTCCCTGGTACAATGTCGAAAAATTTCTACTGGTCAGCCACTGGTCAGCCAATGGTCAGCCACTGGTCAGCCAAACTTAAAAGTTAGGCAAACGCTGATCTATATTTTCCTATAAGACCCAACCCCTTTCAGCGTTATCTCTAACTTCCTATCAATGCCACCTCAGCTTTAGCGTTATTTGTAACTTCCTCTTTGACCTACCAGGACATGGAAGTGAAAGGTCCATGAAAGGTATTTAGATAAGATTCGTTCTAGAAAGAGCAGGACCAATCAATCTCAGTCATGACCAGGGATGACTTATCTTAACTAAACAGATGTAAGGGAGGGACGCGAGGTGGTGGGGGGCACCCAGAGGGTAAAACCCGGTTGTAAAGCCATGGACACTAGAAATGTTTATCTAGGAATACATACATGATAAGGTGTAGATACATACATCATAAAGCGCACATACATACGTCACGTGATAAAGTACACATGCATATTATACAACATTTTCTTACTATATACTATTGGAGTGCCCCCCCCCCCCACAACCCTGTCCGTTTCAATATAAGTACCTTTGTAACAGGAGATTTGCAGCTTAAAATGTGTTAAAACGTCAATTCAAAGACTTGCTTAAAAACTTAAACCTATGACGTTTAAAGACATGCCACACACAAGCAAGGACAAATGAATGTTAACCACACGTGCTACATCTCCAGGGGAGGCTCGTGGATCACGTGTCCTATTTCCATGACGTCATCTAGGCACGGTGACCCAAGCGTTACTAATGGGGTCATTTATTATTAAACACAATCAGTCTTCTCATTTGTGCCCAAACAATGCTAACTCATTACATTACATTCACCATTACATTACATTCACCATTTCATTACATTCACCATTTTATTTCATTCACCATTTTCATTGCATTCTTTCAAAGTCAGGTCAAATTTAATCTCGTTGACAATTTATAAAAATAATAAATTAAAATCAAGTGAAGTTAAGTTGAAGTTCAACACAATGAGTTGTAGTTAAAGCTTTAAGTACATGAATGAGTCTTGAATCATGATAGCTGCATGACCTCACTAGCTGAAACAATGGTACAACGATGAACTGTGATGGCTGCATGACCTCACTAGCTGAGACAATGGTACAATGATGAACTGTGATGGCTGCATGACCTCACTAGCTGAGACAATGGTACAATGATGAACTGTGATGGCTGCATGACCTCACTAGCTGAGACAATGGTACAACGATGAACTGTGATGGCTGCATGACGTCACTAGCTGAAACAATGGTACAACGATGAACTGTGATGGCTGCATGACCTCACTAGCTGAGACAATGGTACTATGAATACAAAATGTCCATGTTTACAAGCTTGGAGTCCGGATAGGAAGACTAAACGCTTTACTTCTGTTGAACAAGATGTCACTGCGATGACTTGTGATGCTACGGCGCGCCAAAACTCAAGTGCTTAGTAATAGTCCTGAAGGGCGTATGTGAGCGAAATCTGTTATTGTCGAGTGTCAGCAGTCCCCAACCTCACAGAGATACAACAGAGGAATATATTTTAAATATTCTTAATCATCAACATAGTGTTAAGTGTAATGGGTCAAACTCAGCACTTCTCTGAACGTATATTTAGTTGTTCTAGCTGTGCCTTGGGAAGGGAGTGTGGAGGGGCGCTCATCCGCCCATGGTGACACCGGTTTCTTCATAATGGAGGTGGACGTTGTTTTTTTTTTCGTGCAAGAGGGGCGGCAAAATCTAGCCCCGACCAGGGTGGCACGAATTGTAACTAAACCCCTGTTCGCCATAGCACTTTGGTTTAGCACTTTTGTTTAGCACTTTGGTTTAGCACTTTGGTTTAGCACTTTGGTTTAGCACTTTGGTTTAGCACTTTGGTTTAGCACTTTGGTTTAGCACGTTGGTTTAGCACTTTGGTTTAGCACTTTGGTTTAGCACTTTGGTCTAGCACTTTGGTTTAGCGCATTGGTTTAGCGTATGGTTTAGCACTTTGGTTTAGCATGTAGGCAAGCAAGCTAAACTGACGATCTCGGTTACACTGAGAGGCCCGATGTGGTTGGTGGGGGAGGGAAATGGGTGACAGAGTCGGTTAGACAAGCAGTGTGGTGGTTGAGGCTCAAATGTGGACACTTGTCAGGCATGTTAGTCATTTAGCGCTCGCTCCCTAAGTGATGACATGACAGTGTCACATCTCCAGTCAGCTTCTCAGTAACGACTGTCATTGCCTGTCACACAAAATTTGCGCAAAACCTAATTCAATTTATTAAGACACACACACACATATACACACAGAGGGGGGAGAGAGAGAGAGAGAGAGACAGAAAGAGAGAATCTATTTATATCTTCTTTTTAAGTTATGTTATCTTACCATTTCTCACAATCTCTCACAAATTCTCACAAATTTTCACTGTTTCTCACAATTTCTCACCATCTCTCACTATTTCTCACCCTCTCTCACCATCTCTCACCATCTCTCACCATGTTTCAACCATTTAACATGAACATTAAAACAAAACCCGTTTGGTCTCTTGTTTCAGATCACTTTGAGCGCAGCCTGCAACCTCCCAGTACCATTCACCCCACCAGCAAACCTCAGACGCCATCAACATGACCCAATTCCAACACGGTCTCTTCGGCTGCTTCGACAACATCGGCCTGTGCCTCATCACCTACTTCGTGCCGTGCTACACATTTGGCAAGAATGCCGAGGCCGTTGGCGACTCCTGCCTACTGTGTGGTCTCATCACATTCGTCCCTGTGGTCAACTTCGTGGCCATGATCATGGTCCGCGGTAAAATACGAGAGTCTCGGAACATCGAGGGTAGTCTCGTCTCTGACATCCTGTCCATCTGGTGCTGCACGCTGTGTTCCCTGGTGCAAGAAGCACAGGAAGTTCAAGCCCCGGGTGGCCAGGCCATGGCCAGATCTTAATAACTTTAGATTTTATCCAAGACAATTTAACACCATTATTATGAAAAAAATAGGGTCCATATTGATTTATTTAATGCTTAAATAATTACTGTCATGTGACATGCTGTGATGACCGCCAGGGGGGACTGGGGACCCATGGACTCTTGACTCGCAAAATAAATAAAAGAACGCACATTTAATAAATATTTCATAAAAATATGTTTTCATTTCGATAAACGTCCTATTTAAGGGGCAGCTACTCCAGTATGCAATATCACTTTTCATCTTCCCAACATCTGAGCCTTTCTGCACGATATGCCAACTCTCTGAAGCATGTGTTCTTGCAATGTCAGCTATTGCAGAGTATTTTGTGTATCATTTAATGTATAAACTCTGTAAAATATTTTATATCTAGGCTTTTTCAGAAAGAAATGATCAGAATATTATGAGTTCTTCTCAATATTTATTTCTGAATTAGGTTTACATCAATGTCAAGGTTGATTCTTGAGTTACATCACGCGGACCCATGACGTCATCATACTTCATTAAATTTTTTAATCATACACACATAATCTATATTCTATTTTTTAAAAAATATTTTTGCTTATTTTTAGTATTTTAAAACTAATGGCTTTGCTAATCCATCATTAATTGTGTAGTAAAAATGAAACCTTTCTGCTCTTATTCTGAATTCTTGACTTAGGGACTCTATCATGGTCTAAAAGTTTGCAGCAAAAGAGATATTTTGTTTTCAACCCACTAAAGTTAATCTAAACGAATTACATCTCTGCTGGATCTGCTAAAAAATATCTCAGCTATCCATACCATTTAAATTTTGTTACTTGAACATGATAGCGAACATTGTTATTTTGGTATTAAATGTGATCAATGAGATTTTTCGTTAATTAGGATGACTTTTTTTCGATTTAAAAAACATAACTTGAAAATAAGTTGAAACAAACCATGATTACAGTAGTCGTCCAATGTGTAAATAACCAACTTAAAATTGAATGTAACAATAATGACATTTTATTAGAAGTTGTATTTGTAGAATTCTTTTCACTTTGCCTTGTGTTTGTAGCACGAGCCATATTTACATCCTGCTAATAAAAAGATACAAATTGTTTTTATATAAAAATTCAATACATTGTCCTAATGTGCCTGTCTAACATTATCTATTTTAAGATTATGTTATTATATTTTTTTAAAATCGTCTTTTCATTTTTTGTGTTTCTTGATTATCGAGGTGTGAAGGCCAACTAAGCGTTCAAGACGCTAACATATCATGTAGCATGTTTATTAGGTCATACTCCACCAGAGGTCAAAGGTCAAAAGTTTTTAAAAAACCTAAACAAACAAAACAACACAAATAATATTAACCCCTACCGCCAAAAAAAAAAGGAAACGGGAAAAAAAAAGGGGGGGGAGGGTGGGTGGTAAGGAGGATGACATAGGATAAAAGGTTGTTGGTGGGGAAATTGTGCTTGGTGAGATAAGTGTGTTTTGTGGGGAAATCGTGCTTGGTGAGATAAGTGTGTTTTGTGGGGAAATCGTGCTTGGTGAGATGAGTGTGTTTTGTGGGGAAATCGTGCTTGGTGAGATGAGTGTGTTTTGTGGGGAAATCGTGCTTGGTGAGATAAGTGTGTTTTGTGGGGAAATCGTGCTTGGTGAGATAAGTGTGTTTTGTGGGGAAATCGTGCTTGGTGAGATAAGTGTGTTTTGTGGGGAAATCGTGCTTGGTGAGATAAGTGTGTTTTGTGGGGAAATCGTGCTTGGTGAGATAAGTGTGTTTTGTGGGGAAATCGTGCTTGGTGAGATAAGTGTGTTTTGTGGGGAAATCGTGCTTGGTGAGATAAGTGTGTTTTGTGGGGAAATCGTGCTTGGTGAGATAAGTGTGTTTTGTGGGGAAATCGTGCTTGGTGAGATAAGTGTGTTTTGTGGGGAAATCGTGCTTGGTGAGATAAGTGTGTTTTGTGGGGAAATCGTGCTTGGTGAGATAAGTGTGTTTTGTGGGGAAATCGTGCTTGGTGAGATAAGTGTGTTTTGTGGGGAAATCGTGCTTGGTGAGATGAGTGTGTTTTGTGGGGAAATTGTGCTTGGTGAGATGAGTGTGTTTTGTGGGGAAATCGTGCTTGGTGAGATAAGTGTGTTTTGTGGGGAAATCGTGCTTGGTGTAAGTATGATCAACTGATAATGTATTTATTTATAATATAAAAGCATTTGTTTAATGTCACGGTGAGGTCAGCTGATAGGTCAGAGGTCAACAGCTTTATAGGAGACGCCATTTGTTTACCTTCCAAACCGACTTACAAATCACGTGGGGGGATTTTCACAACTGAGTTGGGAGCGGCACGAGAATCTCCCAAGGGGTCGCCCCACCCCCCACCCCCCGGTCACCGAGGACACGACTGGACGGCCCCAAGTGTCACTGTCTTCCTTAATCGCACCACATTCCTGTGACCATGCTCCCTAGTCACCTAACTCTTTGAGATGTGCCCCACTACATCAGAACAGGAAGTTAAAAGAAATAATTTAATGTGCCACCTCCAGATATTTGCTGAACATAAGATATTTAAACACAAAAAAAATTAGTGCATGGATTTTTAGAAAACAAGTCTTAGTTTTATTTCCAACACCGGAAATTTCCCACCTAGTTCCTTCCCATGAGTTTCATAATTCATATCCCCGTACCCACACCTGACGTGTGACCGTGCTGTAAGAAAATTAACATATACGGGAGTCTTTAAATTTAAATTTTGTATTCATTACGGTTCAAGAGTTTCGTTACATTTTTTTGCACACGCTTCAAACCTGTTTTGCTGGATTCCTTGAAAGGTGTTCCACTGACAAAACATTCAATATAGTCATATTTAAATTATCGTTTACAAATGATATCCATCAAATGACGTCATCAAATGATGTGTACCTAATTGATGAAAAACGTCAAACAGATTTTGGCACTGACGTCATCTTGTTTTCTTCCCCCGTGAAAGTTTCCAATGGGTCTGTGTAGAGTCCTGAAGGGGTGTAAAGAGTCCCAAAGGGGTGTAAATAGTACCAAAGTGGTGTAAAGAGTCCCAAAGAGGTGTAAAGAGTCCCAAAGGGATGTAAGGAGTCCCAAAGGGGTGTAAAGGGTCCCAAAAAGGTGTAAAGAGTCCCTAAGGGATGTAAGGAGTCCCAAAGGGTGTAAGCATTCTTGAAGGAGGAGTGAGCAATTATGATGTTGCAAGAAAATCTTAGTTTGTTCAAGTTTTAAATAACGTTTGAGAGTGATCATTAGCTATCAGGTTCTTTGAGACAAAGTTTGAGATTCTAGGATGACTGGTAGTGTCCCGTTATTTAACGAGACTTTGTACTTTACATATACATATATAAGCACTGATTTAAGGAGGGCTGTCCCGTGTCGCAGACCCTGTATTTGTTATGATGTATGTACTTATTACATCATTGTTTTTTTTAAAGTTTTAATTCTTGAAAGGGGCCTTACATTGAATTGGGTCTCCCTCCTGCCCCCCCCCCCCCCCATTGTCTACTGTAGGCATCCCAGATGACGTCAATAGGGCAACATTCCAAAGTTAAAATAAACAACTTCAATTTAGATAATGTACACAATATCATAGCTGAAACAGAAAAAGGCCCACTAGTTATCACGTGACCAGATCCTTGCGGAGCAGTCTCCGACATTTCTCTAAACACTGATGTAGGAAGCGGGTTGCCATGAGGGGTTGGCAGAGGGTGGCCAGGAGGGGTTGGCAGAGGGTGGCCATGCGGGGATGGTAGAGGGTGGCCATGAGGGGGTGGCAGAGGGTGGCCATGAGGGGTTGGCAGAGGGTGGCCATGAGGGGTTGGCAGAGGGTGGCCATGAGGGGGTGGCAGAGGGTGGCCATGAGGGGTTGGCAGAGGGTGGCCATGAGGGGGTGGCAGAGGGTGGCCATGAGGGGTTGGCAGAGGCGTAGCTAAGATATTTTGCGCCCTGGAACAAACTATAAAATTGCCGCCCCAGCCCCCTCCCCGTTTAATCACATTTTTCGATTTCATTTTATATTCAAGAAGGAAAACAAGTTCAAGCTTAATAGAATATTGCATGTAAAGAAGCAAATTTAAAGACATTGTAGTACATGACCCAGTCAGTTACTGTCGCAGACATTGTAGTACATGACCCACTCAGTTACTGTCGCAGACATTGTGGTACATGACCCACTCAGTTACTGTCGCAGACATTGTAGTACATGACCCACTCAGTTACTGTCGCATACATTGTAGTACATGACCCACTCAGTTACTGTCGCAGACATTGTAGTATATGACCCACTCAGTTACTGTCGCAGACATTGTAGTATATGACCCACTCAGTTACTGTCGCAGACATTGTAGTATATGACCCACTCAGTTACTGTCGCAACATTGTAGTACATGACCCACTCAGTTACTGTCGCACACTTGTTGTCATAGTTTACAAAAGATTTTTATTTCTTGATTTCACTGTCGCAAACTGGTCGATGACGCAATCAAAACATGTGTTTTCCCCCCAGTGTTTCTCTTTCAACGCTAAGAAGAGCAAGATCGCTGAGGCGCTCCTGTGCCAATGATGCACAAAATAAGTTGGCTATCAGACGTCACGTCTGCTGAACCGCTGCACCGATCTTGTGACCGATGTATTACCCTTGTTTACTTATTATCATGTAACGTTGTAAACCTAACTTTGGCACCCCTGTACCTTGGCGCCCGGGGACCTATGTACCCCTGCCCCCCCCCCCCTGTTACGAATTTGGGGGATGGTCCACCCCCGCTGGCACTTACCTTTTGGCGCCATTTTCGCTCCACTTCCTCTACAGTGAAACACGTTTAACGCGAAAACAATTAACACGAAAAATCGGTTAACACGAAATTCGTTTAACACGAAGAAATATTTCGGTGCTCTCAGTTTCGTGTTAAACGATTTTTTCCTGTACTTTACTTTATATTTCTCATTGTTACTCGAAATAACTCGCCAAACATTGGCGGCGACTATACGGGAACTTCCCATCAAATCAAGTTACTTGGCAAAACATCCATTCTAGTAGAGCTTTTTATAAGAATCCCGATTAGTGCACACTTTACGAAATTTTATAATATTACATTTATTTCTAATTTATAATAATGATTCTTATTTATTAAAGGATTTATGTAGGATAAATATATTTATTTTGCCAGCTTTCAATTGATTAGATTTTGATTAGATTTTCCCTTGCTAGTGTCTTGGACGTGTGGGTCTCTTGTCCTTGTGGGTCTCTTGGCCTTGTGGGTCTCTTGGCCTTGCTAGTCCCCTGGCCTTGTGGCTCTCCTATTATAACACCGTTCTCCTCGGCTATGCTCAGATTCAAAGTGAGATATCTCGAGTTACCCAAATAGGTTTAGTAACCTGACGGGAAAATATACTGCAACTGATTCTAGCCAAAAGACAGAGCAAGTACTTCCTGAATGTATTTCGACATTGTGGGATTGTGAAATACGACGAACAAGTTGAGAAATGTTAACGCGTGATTTATCTTACTCATTTGTCTGGGTGCGTGTTGATATTTTTTTAAAAAATCTGGTCAAAGAATCTAATGTACCCCTGTATCCCGTCACGGGGTCGTTTTGTTTCCGCACACCCCACACTCGCAGGGTGTGAGGTCTTATCAGCTACATTCATTTGTCAAACCCTTTTGTGGGCAACAGAATGATCCAAAAATAGGATTAGATAAATATATATAAGTAATTGTAATTCTTTACAATCACCATGGTATCACACAGCTGCTTGATGGAAACATTGTTTACAATCACCATGGTATCACACGCTGCTTGATGGGACCATTGTTTACAATCACCATGGCATCACACAGCTGCTTGATGGGGCCATTGTTTACAATCACCATGGCATCACACAGCTGCTTGATGGGACCATTGTTTACAATCACCATGGCATCACCCAGCTGGTTGATGGGACCATTGTTTACAATCACCATGGCATCACACAGCTGGTTGAAGGGATCTTTGTTTACAATCACCATGGTATCACACGGCTGCTTGATGGAAAAATTGTTTACAATCACCATGGCATCACACAGCTGGTTGATGGGACCATTGTTTACAATCACCATGGTATCACACAGCTGCTTGATGGGACCATCGTTTTACTGAAATAGGTTATTTACTTAATAACACGTTGAATCTGATCTGTCTAGGAGAGATAGTGTTTAGGAGAGATAGTGTCTGGGAGAGATAGTGTCTATGAGAGATAGTGTCTGGGAGAGATAGTGTCTAGGAGAGATAGTGTCTGGGAGAGATAGTGTCTAGGTGAGATAGTGTCTGGGAGAGATAGTGT